ATGCGAAGGAGGATCATTACCAGAGGATTCTTCTCTACTGTGTTTTTTCTTCAATATAGGTCTCACTTCGGAACCTTCAAATGTTTCAGTACCATTTGTAAGATCAGTTGCAATTGTTACGTGATGAGTAGTATTATTTGATCTTGTATTATTCATTGATTTTCTTTTAAGAATTCCTTGTGGTTCCGGAGAACCAATTTGACCATCTTCTCTATCATCTTCTCTAGATGTCTTACGTTTTAATATAGAAGTAGGTTGAGGATCAGGACTTTGATCTCTTTTTATAATTTCATCTAATGACGATCGTCTTTGATTTTTTAAAATCGGCCTAAATTCAGAATAGTTGTTATCATTAAAAGAAACATCAGGTGAGTAACTGCGCCGCCGAAGTATTTCACTTTCATCCAAACTACTACGCTTTTTTAAGATACCATGCCTTTTATGAATTGGTTCTATCACAGATGGTGAAAATGTTACAGGTAATGTATTATGTGACGTATTAGATGAAGATTGACCTGTTTCACTTTCAGCCACCTTGTGTTTAAGTATAGATACTGGTGGTTGACGTCCTGAATAAGACTCTTGAGGATATTCATCGATCGATTTTTTCAAGATAGAACATTTACTTGGTGATACAGTTGTATGAATATTCGCAGAATGATTTGCACATTTTGTTACATTTCTTGTAGGTGATACATTAGTTAAATAAATCTCAGACTTTTGTTTATGATTTACTGATAAACCACTATTTGATGCAAGTCTTTCTACTCGTTCCATAGTAGCTTTCGTTAATGCAGTTAATGCATCAACCCTTCTCGAGACTTCTGAATCACTATGACCATCCTTACTATCAATTTATATAAATATTAAACAATTTATATTCGTATTATATTAAGAAATATTAAGTAAAGAGGGAAAAACAATTACCTGTTTTGTAGTACATTACAACATTTTGTATTTGGAAGAGATGTAACAGTTGATGAGAAATTAGGTTTGGAGCGATGCGTGTTATTATGAAAATTGCCACGCGATGAGCCAAGTTTTGATTCTGTATGCTTTTTTTGTGGACTAGCAGCAGTCTGATTAGAAGCACCAGTATCAGAAGACAATATTGTATCGGATATGTGATTTTGTTTACTTGATTGTCTCGTACTTCTTCTTTCATTACATTCAGCTAAAAATAACAGCTACTTTTACTGCTATTAATTTGATACAATATACACCAAATTAAATACACGCGATGGAAAAGTCTAATCTATTAAAATACAGCAGTATTATATATATAAAAGCTATATCAAATAAAAATACAAATTTCTAATAATACTCATTTGCTTACTGTTAATTAAACGATCTGATGGAACTGCTTCTATATTGCTCGATCGATTTAGATATGATTTTCTTTTATAACTTTTATCCCTTTCTCGCACCGGATTCATTGTATTACCATTGTCTGAAGATACTGGATTGTCCTGCACATGCATATTTTGTTTATTACCACATGTAAACATATGAATTGTATGTTGAACAATAATTACATGCCATTATTATATACCCGTATGAAAATACTTACTACTTTAGTAGATAAATTAACATTCAATTGAGAACCTGAAGGAATAGCAGTTTCTGACACAGCTAATCGTTTTAATGTATTACCTAAAAGGAAAAACGTTCGTAATGAAATGTTATAAATCTTAAAAAATGTAAAAAGAAAGAAAAAAAACAAAAACCTAGTAAATATACTTACTATTCGACGATACAATAGAAGCAGCACGTAGCCTAGAAGCTTTAGTTTCACGAATATGCGCTACCTTATATAATGCAAGACTTTTATGTTGATCTTTATTTTCAACTCTCTGCGTCGCACGATTAGACTTTCCTAATGCATAACCATGTTTTTTATCCTCTAATTTTTTTTTTAGAAAAAGAGAGAATCAGAGTTTTTCGACATTAATATAATGAAACATTGTTAATATTACATATGTTTTTTTAATATAAAAATACTTGCCTATTATTTATACTACGAGACTACAACTCATGTGATTGATAATTACCTTAATATATATATTTATAACGCGTATAAATACAAAATTCTTAATAGTTTAAATAATAAATAATACTTACTATCAGACGAACAAGATATTAAATTCTTCTTAGGTCTGCACTCTGTATTTTGCTCATTACACTGTATGTTATTACACTTAGAAGGATCAGTAGCATTTACACATTCCGACGAGTTATTTTCTGTTCCATTCGAAGAACTTTCTCCACTGGCTGCCATCAAAACTGTTGCACCAGCAGCTACCATTACTAAAAATAAATACTACATTACACCTTACATTGCCAATTTATCTTCGTTTCAATTTTGTCGAAAATCACGTATTCAAAAATCATGCAATTTTTAAAAGGAACATTTAACACTGTAATGACATATGTTATATATATATATATATATATATATATATATATAAGAAAACATATTGCTAATCTATGACTAAATGTATATATATATATATATATTTTTTTAAAGCTATTCTTAAACTTGTTCAAAAGTTTAATAAATATATTATTCATACTTAATAAGAATCGATCTGTTAGAAACAAAAAATTAAGTTTACGTATAATCGAATAATTATTTTTTACATCATTGCTTGCATAAATAGGTTTCCAATGGTGAATAAATTTAAAAAACAAATGTATATATTCTAAATAAATAAATAATATTTCTATTAAAATGGTAATAAATATAATCGACGTTACCGTCGATTATTAAAAATCAAGAAGATTAGGATAAAACAAACAAAAAGATAAAATATGTATATTATCGTTAACATTATGATAGAGAAAAAATTTCGCTGTAAAGAGAAAGTTTTTTTATCTCTTCTTTTATTAGCATTTTCTTTCTTTTTTTATTTCTTTTATCTTTTCGCTTAAATGTATATACATACATACATCCATACACATACATACATACATACATACATATATATATACACATCATACAACATATATATATACACATCATACATACATACATACATATATATATATATATATATTTTACCTACTTATTTACTGTGTCCTTCCTTATGTTGCAGCCATAATCTTGCCTTTTAAAATTAATTCTAAAAATAATTCCGAAAGTAGTCAACACGGATCAATCCGTTTTATATATTGTATCACAGTTATTAATACTTATAAAAAGCACCAATTCGCGTAAATTATAGAATACATGTAAAAAATCACTGAACACCTAATTGATATATTTGTATATATATATATACATATTTTTATATATATATATATATACATATATATACATATTTATATATATATATATATATATATATATGTATCACGTATTGGAAAAATATTACGATCGACTGGAAAAAAATATCTTCCCTGGAAATATTGCACAGGTATTACTCATCTGACAACGATTTCTCTTGTAACTGCCAGTAACAGTCAGTTGTCATTTACAGTTTACGTATACTAGCGATCCACACATTATTCCATTGATAAAATTATTATTCTAGAAGGCGAATCGCCGATAAATTCTTGAACATTTCATCGAGGATAGCAGCAGATAATGTAGAATTTATTATACTGTTTTACCATCAGTCTGATGTTATATTATTTTGTCAATGTTTAATAAGTAAAAAGGAATTAAAAAAGAAAAATTAATTTAAATTGTTTTTAACATCGCAATACAATTTATGAAGTCAAGTTCCAAGTTTTGAATAAAAGCATTTTACTCAACGATCATGATCATTAAAACAATCAACAAAAGTCAACTTCTTATTTTCTAAGTCAACTTCTATTATCTTCTTTTTTATTTATATATAAATAAGAGTTTGTTTAAAAAAGGAACTATGTAAAAATAAAAAAAAAAAGATGGATAAAAATTCGTGATACGAAGCTATTATCTCAAAGGTACATACGATTTCATAATATCAAGGAGGGTTCGTAGAAATTTGCATCGACAGATGACGCGTTAATCGACAATATCACAATTGCTCATAGCGTAATTTAACGCAAAGTCAGCCATCTACAATTGTTTAATATATCAATGATTGTACCATTGCTTTCATACTCTTCACAGCCTGTTTGCCAGCCAGCCTGGCACGGTAAATGGATACGTGTATCGTGTACGAGGTTAAAAGTGGCAGCCTATAGTTGTATTCCTTATTACTGTCATCGTCGCATCACAATAGTCTCGATTTTTGTCGACGTAGTTCGTTTGCCGGCCATTACGCGTAGTGTTATTACTATTGCTCTAGTGGTGCTGCTGTTGTTACTGCTGTTGCTGCTGCCGCTGTTTCACATATGTTATCTCAATATTCGCACGTGCGCGCGCGTTAAAGAACGCAGCGAACGTGCGCGCGTGTGTGTGTGCGTGTGTGTGTGTGCGTGCGTACGTGTGCGTTCCGCGATTTGCGTTCGCGTATCCCTCCGAAAAGATGGCCGCCATGAAAGTGTACGGTGGTGATGTTGATGTCGTTCGCAACGAGGCTGCGTTACGTCCTCAACAAGCGTGAAAAAGATCTTTCAATAAATTGAATGCGTGTGCCGTACTGGCACGGTAGATTATTAGTGAAAAAAATAGAACAATCTTTGAAAGAGTAAAGGTGGCCTTCGATAAGAGTCGCCGCCGGCAAGTGCGCTATTTATCGCGAGGTCTCTTTCACGGTCTACGACACGAACAGAAAGAATAGAGAAGTATAATAGAAAACAGCCGTACATGATAAATACTATCGAGAGAAAGAGGGAAAGAGAAAGAAATAAGGAAGGAAAAAGGTGAAGTGAAAGAGAGGGTTTCAATGTGTGATTTCAACGAAGAGATTGAAAGGTAGTGATAGAGTGAGTGAGAGAGAGAGGGACAAAGACGAGTGTGAAGAAGAGAAAGAAGGAACGGACAAACGAAAGCATTGGAGAAAAAGAGAAGGTCTGGAGGAGGAGGAAGAAGAAGAAGAAGAAGAAGAAGAAGAAGAAGAAGAAGAAAAAGAAGAAGAGGAAGAAGAAGAAGGACGAGGAGGAGGAGGAGGAGGAGAAAAAGAAGAAGAAGAAGAAAGAGGAACGTGACCGTCATCATTGGAAGGGTGTTCGACGAGGAATAAACGAATGAGGAAGAAAGACGCGCGTGATAAAAAAGGGTGCCAGAATTGATAGAGGAAGGAGAGAAAGGTAGAGCACATAAGAGATAGAAGAAGATTGTGGAAAGAGCGAGAGTGAGAGAAAAAGGGGGTAAAGGGGAAAGAGGGGAAAGAGCGAGAGAGAAAGATAGGGGGAGCGCGTGGAAAACGGGGGTGATATACGCGAGTGAGTTGTACGTGTAACGCGGGTGGTGCGCTTTGGTGCCGCGAGTGAAAGAAATGCGCGCGTGAGAGGGTGTCTCTCGAGCCTCCCTCAGAACGTGCGAGCACACCAACATATCTTCGTTTCCGCGAGTTTTTTGACGCAACCCAAAGACGACGAGTGTGCCTACCGCGTCGACGCGCGTATCGAAAGTTTCGTGCTTTCGAAGGAGGGACGGCCATATTAATCCGTAAACCCCGCCGTCCGAAGCTCATTCCAAAAAGATTCTGTGTATTTTCTCTGAAAACCATCACTAACACATACACACCATTGGATATACATAACGCTGCAAATTAGAATTCGAAATTGAAAGGCTTGTCACGTATTCTGTGATATGTGTGCGTGCGCACTCAACAACTAATCTCAAACGGTTTGTTAAATAAAAAAAAAAAGAAAAGGAAAAACAGGAGAATTAAACGACAAGTTCTACTATACGCACGGTTCGGTTCCACGTCCTTTCGGATGACGGTACGTATAGCTGGTGTGTGTGCGCGACGGTACAAGTGTGTACGAGCGTGTGCGAGCGTGTGCAAGCTGTCTCTTACGCCGCCCGATGTCCCTGTGCCGTCCTCGTCGTACCGAAGCAAGTCAGCGGTTCACCAATACCAGCGTGTCCTCTCTTTGCTCCAACGCTACTACTACCACCACCCTTCCTAGGCCCTATGCTACTCATGTAGTGAGTATTTTTCACTTATTTTTACCTTAGATTTGTCATTTCATGTTTTTACAACCATCTTCTAGATTTAGTTTTTACTATTAAACTAAACTGCTATGTTGTGTCCACTAAAACTATTCTTTATCGACTGTTGTTTTATCTCTTGTGCTATTTCCTTTATTGTTTCCTCTTTTCCATAGATAACATTTTTAAAAGTGTTGTATAATAATAGTACTATGTTACAATGACAATTCTTTTATCGCTTTTAGTTTTAAGAGTTCAAAACTCATCGATAACAATCAATGCATTATCGAATGAAGAAAGTTTAAGGTTGTTGATTCATTCTCTTACTTTATTATCATATCAGACATTATTCTTCACATTATCCTATATTTAACATAAATTAATAACAATTATATGATAAGTCTTTGAAACATTGTATATGTTCTGCAATAAGTCATCAGCGATGAAGATCAGTTGCTTTGAATTTTAGAAAATTTGAATGATCGCAGAAAGACTAGACTGTATCAATAGAAAAAAAAGGATATGAGAAGTAAAGTCTTCAACATTAAAACATTTGAATGAAAACATTAAAACATTATTTAATAATGATCTATACAATCTGCTTCGATGCATAATTCGATGCGTAAAGTTAGTAATTCAATCATGTAATTTGCATGCGATTAAAAAATAATGATATATTAATCTTGACAACTACATTAACTATCAGTATCTTAACGTTTATAACGATATTCAAAGCAAAACACACTGATTGAATTCATTATAATATCATGTGTTCATAATATGGTACACATTGCAAACATAACCTCTAACCTGAGGTAAATAAGTAACTAATATGCAGGATAGAATCTAATCATCTTATAAACAATGAGTTACAAATAAGTGAAAGTATAGAAAGATATCTTTTATTACATTATTTTCATAATATATTTACTTTCCATTTTCTTTTTTTTAATTAAAATTAATTTCAGTTATAATACCGGTAGAGCAAGGAAAATGTTGCGGCGGGGCTTGAAGATGTCACTGTCAAATTCGAAAGAAAGAAAGAGAGAGGAATAGGAAAACAGAAAGAGAGCGAGAGAAAGAGAATTCTAAAGAGTCGAATGTTTCTGTACTACCGGTCGAGCAAATAATGTAGAATGAGAGAGCAGGTTTATCTATTTTGTCAACTTTTCTTTTCGTTCGCTGTTTATGTTTTGATTCTTTATATTTCTTTCTTTTCTCTCTCTCTCTCTCTCTCTCTCTCTCTCTCTCTCTCTCTCTCTCTCTCTTTCTTTCGTTATTTTACTATATTTTTAAAATACATACGATAGATTGATATACACGGATAAAAGCATTCTATCTTAGCACTCTGTCCTCTTTAAATAATGCTTTCTGCCATACACGGCCTTTTTATTCTGATTCTCGAAGACGGTCGAGTGTACTTTGTATTTCGTGGTAGTGGCGCTACGATGACGGCGCGTGCGAGGTTTGAACTTTCCTCTCCATCTCTCTCTTTCCCTTCCTACCTCCCTCCCTCCCTTTCTCACTCACTTTCTCTCTCACTCTTTCTCGGTTTCTCTTACCCCTTCTTTCTCTTCCCGGTGATTGGTGAATTTTTTTCTACACATAGGGCGCGTGCATTGAATATTTCCATTGTGCATGCATCGCTCATGCATCATGCTTATGCGATGTGCGATCGCATGGATTGAAATCGAATAATCTCGTTTGTAGTTCGAATCTTTGTTAAATATTCTTTTCATTCCCCGTCCCCCTTCTTCCTCCTTCCCCTTCTCCTTCCTCTTCATCTTTCTCGTCGTCTTCGTTTATTTTTGTTTGTTTGTTTCTTTCTTTCTTTCATTCATTCATTCATTCATTCGTTTAGTGTTATTCGGTAAAAAGTTCATTCGTTGCCTTTGATTTTAATCCTCTGTAATTCCAAGTTTTGCTCGTATTTAATTAAAAATTATATAATGTGTGATAACACGTATGATATAATAATTATGATTTAAATAATTAAACGATTAATTTTGTGAAAGAAAAAAAGAAGGAGAAACGCGAGTGCGTGATTTGAAAGTTCAATCAAGTCGTAGGGGATTAATAATGCTGGGAACAATAAAACGAAAAAAAAAGTTTATACTCAAATAGAATTTATTAGTACCTTATTAATATTTAATACGTAAGTAGAATAACAATAATTTGTTTTTATTTTCGATATACAAATCTACGATCACAGTGTTAACAACAACAAATTATCAACCTGCGATACCGACATTTTAAATACACGCAAAGAACAAATTTATAATATAAAAAAAAAGTAAAAATGTAAATAATTGTTAGTACAGTAAAGAACTCTTGGGATATTCTATGTTATCTAATAATTATCCATATGATAATTATAGTAATTGTGTTTCATTTGAATTCATTATGTTTCATTTCTATATACGTACGTATATAAATTTATAAATTAATATTATTGGTTAATATATAATATGACAAAGAACAACTGTACTCAATAATACTTTTTCGTTCTTTTTTGCATCTAGTCACTGAAACAAAATCGTTTTGGCGATAACGGAATAACGCTAATAAGATCACGACTTGTGCTTTATCTTATCGCCAATGTCTTTAATCTAGTCTTTCAGATAATGCAAAGGCACGATTTCATTTCTTATTTGTCGATATATACATGTGCGCGCGTCGTTTTGTGTGAATCTGTGAGTAAATGTGTGGTATATCGAATTTTCGAAAGTGAGTACGAGAAATGCGCATACGGAATACTGTGGGATAGTAATTCGAACAATGTGATTATCTAGTTAATTGTGCAAATTGCTTGAGTCAATTTTCAAAACCGATTTATAATCGCTGTATATATGTATATGTAATGTAGATGTAGATGTATACTACTTATTTCGTTATCTCTCTTCCAAAAGGGTTCATTTTCATACTTTTCATCGCGTTTTTTTTTTATTCCCTTTCTATTGTTGTCACTCCCCCCGCTCCCCCACAAGTAAGTTATAGAAAATTAATAAGGGTGTGCCAAAAGTAGTTTTATCGAGAAAAGGAAAAGAAAAAAAAAGATCAATATTTGTTTATTTGTACAAAATTCAGTCTATATTATTACATTTTACCAACTAACCCAATAGAGCCAAACAACAAGTTTATGAGTGAGGATATCCTTGTGCATGTGATATGGTACTCATAATCGTGTTTCCACTTGTAATATTTTTGTTTTTTATTTCAAGACCTAAATCTATAGTTAGGTTTTTGTTAAAAAAGATTTTGACACAGATAAATGTAAAATAAAAGTGTACTTTTGGATAATACCTTATCATCGTCAATGATCTGTCGCATAATTTGTTCGTTAAATAGAATTTTAACCTTTTGTTATCATATATTTGTTGAAAATTTGTATTTTTTTTTGTCTAGAATCCGTATTCAACGGATGAAAAGGGAAAGGTGGTAGAGGGGGTAGAAGGTCTTTTGAAAATAAAAAGAAAACATAATAAAACAGGCTTGTTTCCCTTTCTCGTTGAGTCCGAGTTTTGAGCACACTGTTTCTTTGTCTTTCTCGCTCTTTCCCACTGGTTGAGAGCTCTTGGTTCTATCTCTCTATTTCACTCTTTCTTTTAGAGCAACGGCCCTTTTCAAAGTTCCTATCTAGTATATGGCTTGGCAACACTATAAGACGCACGATTCGTTAGATGTAGTGTGTTTTGAAAAATGGATTGTGACTTTTCGTCGTTAGAAAAACATATCAAATTTATAAGCATATTTCCAAGTTTAATTGTAAGTAAGTTCTTTTTAAAATGAATTAATTGTTAATCTAACAAGTCATTTTTTTTGTGTACACAAATTAAATTCATCCGTTACCACAATATGAAGTAATGTTTCTGTTTTATTCGAGATTCGCAAAGAAACGTTATTTATACGTATTTATACGTTATGATACATCCATAGTCTCCCAGTATTTAAATTATACTTATTGTTAGAGAGTTTGACTAAAGTCAGAGAGACGATGTTGTGTTGGTACTATCTCTCTTGTCACGATGTGTGTTGGACTAGGCAATCCGATGCCGAAACCACGAATCCTCTTATCTGGAGCGAGGAGGGGGTTTGGCCTCTTCTATTGGGATTAATTTCAAAGAGCCTGGGAGGACACGGTACGAAAAATAAATCTTTCAAATCTCTTCTTTTATTAACACACAGTTTTGACCTGATATTATATACCAAAAGAAACAAGTAATTTAAGTCACGCCGATTATTTTTCTAATTAAATTAGAACCTCTTTATTTAAGTAATTAACAAAATTCCAGATAAAAATAAAAATCTTCAAACAGAATGTACATATATCTATATTTCAAATCATTAAGGGTAGGATTTGTGCATAAGTTGGCCCAATTGTGACTAGGTTTAATAGTTGCCCTTGGACCACTACTCACGGTCTTTGGAGTACTTGCATAATTTAATTGTAACACGATTTAATTCAAGGACGGCTGGTTATTGTACAATGCAAGTACAATTTGTAGCGTTCACCTTTTTTTTATTTTTTTTTTATTTTATATTACATTAATTGTTTAAAAATTTAATAATTTATTGAATTTTATTCTCTCGTAGATACTTGTGCTGCGACGTATACGCGTTACGCAACCATTGCATTTGTGCGTCAACGAATCTTTCATTTCTTAATGCTATCTTTCTCTCTCTCTCTCTCCCTTTCTGTAAATGTATGTGTACACGGTACTTATATGTGCGTGTGCTTACTTATGTATGACTCATTGAAAGTAATGTGATGATTCGACGGAAAGAAATGTGCTTGCATAGAGAGAGAACCACAGAGGCATGTATTTTCTTAACATATTTTTATTCACATTGCCAATTGAAACTTCTCTTATTCTCGATTGTATTTATCCTTAAACTATAGTTTTGTATCTTTTTAATAACAATATAATCAAATCAAATAATTAACACGTTACAAATGCAATATATTTATTGGTTTATTTGAAAACATCGTCTCCGTT